ACTCAGAGGAGTTTTTTCAGTGTCTGGGCTAGGGGAGCCACAGCAAGAGTGATGACCGGTGTTCCCAGGTTCTCCAGTAGGTGGCAGTAGGCATAGATGGGAGGAGCAAGCAACCTTTCTCAGCCCCTCTCACATAATGGTAACCATGTGCGAATTTCTCAGCCTCTCCTCATCATAGAATCCATTGCTCTGTGAGTTCTTTGGGTGTTTTTGTGATGCTTCAGCTTCCCTTTCCCACAACAGAGGTCAAGGCATAAAGGACAGGCAGATTTCAGAGGAGAAACCACCTTCATCTGTTGTAGATCAGTCAGCATAGCTATGTAGCCAATTGCACATGCCATGGCCTCTCTCCTCCTCCTCCCCAATCTCTCTCTGATCTTTCACAGCAAAACGATCACAACTCTAATCTGTTCTGTCAAATTTGATATTTCCATAAGTTACTGGATCAAATAGACAATGGGGCCAGAGAGAGAGAGAGAGAATGTGCAAGTCTAGCTCAGGAGAGCCCCACCCTCAACCACAGGAGATATCCCAAGCACACAGGGGAAAATAGGATCACACCTCCTGGTGTTCCCACCGACATCTGCAAGTCTCCTGGCCCCATCTCCAGCATCCATGTGTTCAGCCTCATGGCTGAAAGCTGCATGTGTGTAGTCTCTCACATTTTCAGAATCTAGTTACAGGTAGGTAACCGTGTTGGTCTGCTGTAGTTGAAACAAAATAAAAAAAATCCTTCCAGTAGCACCTTAGAGACCAACTAAGTTTGTTATTGGTATGAGCTTTCGTGTGCATGTATCTGCATGTATCTGAAGAAGTGTGCAAACTTAGTTGGTCTCTAAGGTGCTACTGGAAGGAATTTTTTTTTTCTTTCAGAATCCTAACACTAGAACTTGGGGTTTTTGGTTTGGGTATGAAAGAAAAAGGAATGGAAGGAGATGCAGGCTGCACAGTGTACAACCCAAATATGCTTTCAATTTTAATTGTTTTGTATTTCAATTTGGCTTTTCTTAATCAGAAGCAATGTAACCCTTACGACTTCCTTTTTCTTTCAAAGCACTGTCGTTATTTGACATCTGCTTTGCCTGAGATTTAGCCTGCTTTGCTGTTTCAAAGATGGCCTGAAATTGCAAGCTTTCCTTGCCTCTCGATACTTGTTACTCAGCTATGTGAAAGTCTTTGAGGCAGTTCCTTTCAGACTGTGCTTGAAATAATTGTATACCTCTCCATCCCCACCTTTGGCTGAATCTTATCACATAAATAGAGGTATGTACCTAGAGGGACAAAGTGGATACATATCTGTAGCTTTGACTTCTAAGGTAAGTGTATGTTGTTGCTCTTTTCCCCAAAATTAAGAACAGGAGGGCTCTTAATAGCCACTCCTTTGTTTTTCTTCAAACCAGAGTGTTTCAAAGAAAGTTTCCCAATAAAAGTACTTGAAGTGGTTTTAAAAGAATGTGGGCACTCTCTTATCGCAAGATGCATAGCCATAGGACCATGTGCATATAAGACACAGATACAGATATATAACACCACTTAATTTCTTATCGTCACTCAGACTAGATATTGCAGATCTCTGTGCTTATTCATTGTCTGTCACTGCATGGACCAAACAGAGCTGAATTCTGGCGAGATTGAGAAGATGGCGATTGGTAGGTCTTACGATCTAAATGAAGATAGAGACACATGGCACTGCCATTTCTATTACCACCAGGGTTGGAACGCTCCCAGAGCCATCAGTGTGCCTCAAACTTTGGGTTCAAACCATGTGCAAACACTGGACAACACTGCACAAGTGGACAGGGGCAAATGTTCTCCAGCCCACCCAGACCTACAAATTTCATGTTTCTTTGTTGATCAAATACAGTAGGGGTTGCTTAAAAGTGGTCTGCAGGGCATGAAAGAGTTTTTTTGTGTGCACATGCCAAAGTTGTCATTAAAAATAATAATAAAGTTTTTAAATACAGGGTTGTAACCAACTAAACAGTTACTAAACAGTGTTGGGCTAGGACCCGGGAGAGCAGAGTTTGAATCCCCACTCAGCCATGAAGCTCCCTGGGTGACCTGGGGCCAGTCACCATCTCTTAGCCTAACCTACCTCACAGGGCTGTTGTGAGGATGAAATGTGGAGAAGGAGAACCATGCACACCACCTTGAGACCCTTGGAAGATAAAGGTGGTATAAAAATGTTAATAATAATAGTAATTTAGTGCAACTACTCTTAGCTGCACACACTTCCTTGCCCTACCCTCTCACTGTGTGCCCACAATGCTCCTTCTAAATCTGCTTCTGGGGTGTTCCTTCCACCCTCTGGAGCAGATTTAAAGGGGTTTCATGTGGCATACGAGGACAGGAAAGGGAGGGGAAGTTTCATTGTGCAGCTAAAAGTCATTGCATTAACCTAGCTGGTTAGCTGGACACCACCCAAAGTTTTGGACTTTTCCTAGGGTCTCCAGCTGCAATGGCAAGATATGAAAGGGCGCTTTTTGGCTCCCTAAGACCCCCGCCCAAAAATTCCTTTTTAAAAAAGTACTGGCCATGAATTAGATGGAGACTAGATGAAGCAATGGTTTGACTCATGGAAGGCAGGTTCATGTGGAGTATAGCTTGAAGTGGAAAGGAAGTTGAAAAAGTAGCCATTTGCTCATGCAGACGTAGTTGGAGTGGTCATTCAAAGTCCTCCACACAGTAGCAGGTGTGGTGGTACTGCAAGTGCTCACTTGACCTCCAGTCAGTCTTGTTGTTGCTGCTTCCTAGAAGATAGAAGAGGAGAGGCAAGGTGGCAATGAGGCTGGCATGGTGAAAACCCACCAGCAAGACTGCATCCCCCTTCTGCTCCCAGTAAGCAGCAGACTCCAGTGACAGACTGGAGGTAACATGAGTGCCATAACACAATCACTTCACCATGCCATCTACCACTGCCTCAACGTTTGCATCCCATATGTCAGGTGGGCAGCAGAACCATGCCTCCTGGCCCCACCATCCAATTTCTGTGTGGGCTCCTCTTTCAAATGCAGCATGTATGTTGGGAGCAAGGGCAGTGGGACACATGGCATTAGGATGCAACCAGAAGCTGTGATCCCACTGCACCAGATGTGCACATGGACTGTGCATGTGCCAAGTGACACCCGTTGAGTTGCAAAAATCCCAAGTATGCTTTTTCACCAGGATCCCCATCAACCTTCCCCATATTATTGTAAGAAAAACACTGGGGGCTAATTTGAGTAGTAGCATGCCTGGTATCTGGTGGGCGGGGCTTGTGTGTTATGCTCCGGAATCAGCCTCTCCGTTCAGTGTGTGTTCAGTTAAGAATGTCAGTTAAGAGGTACCAACGACCTCTTCTTGCATAGAGGCACAATAATGATCACCCTTGCTAAACAGAACAAATGGTCTTCAAATACAGCCACAGGTCAAATGTTGTCTCATGTGTCTTGTGCAGGTGCCAGCTCCTGTCACCCTGATGAAGTTAGGAATCATGTTGAACCAGGTCCCTTCAACCATGATGTCATAACATCCTAGATGACACCACAAGAAGCCATTTATTTCACAAAACCCCCAGCCTCTGTTTTGGCGCATAAAAGTGGTGCCATTCAAAGACAAGTATTTGTAACAATGGTGATGACCTGGATTATTGTGGTTTGGTAGATGGACCACTGTTCTAGAAGAAAGAGAAGGCATCTGTTTTCTGTGGTCCAGCAGACAGTGAATGGAACCAGAACATGAAAACCTTATCCCACCTGCCTCATTTGGTAGCTTCAAACAAATTTAACACTGGTTCTTGATCTGCCAAATGGGAAAATAAGGGACTTGCCACACAAGCTTAATGTGAAAGCTATTTCATTTTTACTTAACATAAATTGCAGGACTTGGTTGTAGTAAAACCTCTAAGCAGTTTATGAGAAATATTAAAACAGTTGACATATTTGAAACATGTAAATAAATTTAAAATTAACAGTAAAAAATATTAAAATACATCAACATCTATGTGTCTAGAGAGGCTTGCTTAAACAGAAATGTTGTAAGTAGGAGCCAAAAGAAAATATAGTGAAGGCACCTGCCTGATCTGACTTGGCAGTGAGTTCCAAAGTCTAAGAGCCGCTGCATGTCAAAAGACAGGCATATAAAAAGCATTATGTGGCGCCCATAGCAGTGCCAATACTGCAGATCAAAGCGGTTGAATGGGCATATGGGGGTAAGACAATGAGCTTTTGCAAAGCACTTTCTGTATGCACAAATGCTATTATATGATTCATTAATTTTTTTAAGTTTTGGTCTTTTTGGTGAATATTTCTGTTACTTAATTGCCCCCATGCATCCAACTATTCTACTAGCATGTATCACTTGCATACGCTCTCAGGTGTGACTAATTTCCCCCATTTGCATTATGTACACAGCATTTGATCCTTCAGAGGAACACCAAGAACAGCCTGTCTCCCTGTGTTCAGCATTATCATCTTATCATGATTCACTTTCAGCCTGCTGGCCCTCAACCATCCCACTATTGTCTCCAGACACCAATCCACCACCTGAACAGGCTCTCCTGATTCAGACGGGATGGAAAGACAGAGCTGAGAACCATCAGTATATTGAAGCTGTGGTCAACAACTTTGGAATTCTACAGGTCATGTTACTTTCATAGGATCGTAGAGTTGTAGAGTTGGAAGGGATCCCGAGGGTCATCAAGTCCAACTCCTCTCAACTAAAGCATCCGTGACAGGTGGCCATCCAACCTCTGCTTAAAGACCTCCAAGTAAGGAGGGTCCACCAACCCGTGAGGGAGTCCGTTCCACCATCTAACAGCTCTTATTGTCAGAAAGTTCTTCCTGGTGACTTTAGAAACACACTTTCTTGTGTGTGAGGGTCCTTATTTTTCTTTTTGACCTGGTCAAATCAGCTACTTCTTTTAGTGTCAGAGAGCAGAGAAGTTTGAAAGACACTGTGATTAACCATTAGGTTTTCCATTTCTAAAGCCAGTAGATGACTTATTGAACCTCAGGTTGCTTTTATGTCTGTTCTGTTGTGGAATGTAAAGGAAGATCTTCCAACTTATGTGTGTTTTCTGTCCTGTGACCTTTGAAACTGAGCTGATCTTTAAGATCAGCCTGAACATCTTTAAGGAGCAGGACGTAAAGAAGGGGATCCAATATATTAGCCAAGGTGGCCAAACACCAAGTAAAGTACATGGAATTGAAAATGCTCCTCTTAAAATCACAGATCTTGTCCTTTTCCAGCTCCAGTGTCCAGTAGAATCTATAAAATGAAACCAGTTGGAAGGGAGTATAGAGCAGGAAGTAGGAGGCCAAGATAACGGAGATAAAGCCACAGATCCTCCGTTTCACTCTTTGATGCATAGATGTCATCTTCCTGACCTCAAGCAGCACCCTAAGGTAGAAGAATCCCATGAGAATGCAAGGAATGAATAAAGTGAGGCTCATGGTGGATATCTTGAAGTGTGCATAGTCCTTGCCTAATTGGATGCTGTCTAAACAATTCCCTTGCCATGTCCCCAAGTCCTTCATCTCTAGCCAGATGCCGGCAGCACACAAAATGGCCACCAGGAGCCAAGCCACAACGCTCACCTTTGTGGCACTGCTCATTGCCTGCAATCTGTGGAACTTCATTGGATGAATTAACCCTATGTAACGGTCCATGGCAATGAGGCACAGGAAGCTGTTCTTGGCATAGAAGTTTGTGGAGTGGACCACACCAACCACCACACAGGCCACTTGCCCTAGGATCCAGTGGTGGTTGCGGGAACTGTAAGCAATCCAGAAGGGTAGCAGTAGACTCTGCAAGAGGTTGGCTAGCACCACGTTCAGCACATAGACCGAGAGAACAATGGACTTTTTGATGTGGGTTATCACGGCCCAAAGGGCCAAACAATTCAGAGGCAGCCCAGCTGTCAATGCCACAGAGTACATAGGAATTGTGAAGTATTTGGTGGTGTTTAAAGCCACAGGGCAGGTTAAGTGGGTGGCATTCATGGCACCAAAAGGAACTTAGAAGCTTTCTCACAGTGGCACTGTCTTCAGACCTTTGTCATCTCATAGTCACTGTGGAGGGGGGGGGGTCTCCCAACTGCTGAACTCCCCTTACATGTGCCAGAAGTGAAGAAGGAAATGAAACCTGCTCAGGTGGAGATAGAGAAATCCTCCTTTCCACATCCTTTGCTTTGCAGAGATGGACCACAAGTTCTAGGATTTACCTAACACCTAAGGAAGAAAGACACCAAAAGAGATCAGGTCCAAAAATCTGAATGTGTGATATAATTTGTCTGTCATTTTAAATTTATTTTTATTCTTGAAGATTAAACAACAAAATATCGTGAGCTGCCAGTTTCCCCTCACTCAAGAGGACTGTAGAGAGTCCTGCAAGGACCGGGACCCTGGGAAGACAGGCAGGCAGCACTGGAAACATCTGCTGCCCCAGCTAGGCATATATCAGCAGATGGGGCAGCTCTCTAAAGCCTGCCTGCCCTGGGACAGGGCCACACTTGAAGGGATGACACTTAGGGGGGTGGCACGTCGAGGGTGTGTTAAAATTATTGTTTTAATAGGGATGAGATTTTAACTTGGGTGGGTGCTGGTTTATTTGGAGGGTGTGGTTGTTTAAAATTATTGTTAAGTGGTATATGTTGATGTTGAGTCTTGTAAAGTTGAGTCTTGTAATGCTGAGCTACAGGGAACCAGGCAGAGGGCCTTCTTGGTAGTGGCGCCCACCCTGTGGAACACCCTCCCATCAGATGTCAAAGAGATAAACAGCTACCTGCCATTTAGAAGACATCTGAAGGCAGCCCTGCTCAGGGAAGTTTTTGATGTGTGACATTTTAATGTATTTTTAGTCTTTGTTGGAAGCCACCCAAAGTGGCTGGAGAAACCCAGCCAGATGGGTGGGGTACAAATAATAAATTATTATTATTATTATTATTGTATATTTGTGGGTTGGGGTACTGGTTAGGGGTATTCGTTGGGGAGTGTATTGTTTGGGGACGCGGGTGGTGCTGTGGGTAAAACCTCAGCGCCTAGGACTTGCATGGTTGGCGGTTCGAATCCCCATGGCGGGGTGCGCTCCCGTCGTTAGGTCCCAGCGCCTGCCAACCTAGCAGTTTGAAAGCACCCCCGGGTGCAAGTAGAAGGTTCTACTTCCCAGCGGGAAGGTAAACGCCGTTCCGTGTACTGTGCTGGCTCGCCAGATGCAGCTTGTCACGCTGGCCACGTGACCCGGAAGTGTCTCCAGACAGCGCTGGCCCCCGGCCTATAGAGTGAGATGAGTGCACAACCCTAGAGTCTGTCAAGACTGGCCCGTACGGGCAGGGGTACCTTTACTTTTTATTGTTGATTGTTTTTATTGTTTTTATTATGTATTTTGTGCTTTGTATATTGCAGCTTTGTGTTATGAAGCAACCTGAGTCCTACAGGTATAAGGCAGTATACAAGTTTAATAAACAACAGCAACCTGGGACCTTTGCATGCAAAGCAGATGCTCTCCCACTGACCTGTGACCCCTTCCTAAATACATTCTTCGATGCATGTTCTTCCCTGTCCCTGAGAAATGGTCTAAGGTTAGTAGCGTAGACAATTTCTCAGCTAGAGATGGGGGATAATTTTGCTTGGTTCACATTATGCTCCCTGGACCAATACACAAGCTATAATGTGTAGCTGCATGGCTGACTGGGGATTTGAACCCTGGCCTCCCAGGTCCTAGTCTGACATTCTAACTACTATACCACACTGACTCTCAGACAAAATTTTGGAGGATACAGCTGTCAGTGGCTACCAGTCATGACTATTGTGATCTACCTCCATTGTAGGAGACAGCATGCATTTTGATACCATTTGCTGGGAGTCGCAAGTAGGGAGAGGGCTGTTTGTTGTGCTCAAGCACTGCTTGTGGGGCTTCCCTGAGGGATTTGGCTGGCCACCATCAGGATGATTGGACTTTGCTCTAATACAGAATGACTCTTCTTCTGCCCCTTTTTTCTGTTCTAAAGATATCTGTGTAACTTTGAAAGCCCTGCATACCTTTTTAACTACTCCATACCGACCAAAGAACAGCACGTCTCTGCACATGAAGCAAATAAAACTTTGCAGGAAATTTCAGTGTGGCTGGAACTCTTTTTTTATGTGGTGATGCTAGTTTGCATGCACCACACTTTCTCATAGGCACTGTCCTCTCTCAGATGCAAAATAAACCAGTGGTTCCTGTAATAGAAGGGTCAGATTTTAGGGCTCTAGAGCAGCATCAGATATTAGCGAGCTGCAGTTAAAGTAGACTTAATATTCTGGAGCTTACATCTGAACCAACAGAACCCAACAGCAGTGGAGTTTTTAGCCTTCGGACTGCATGGCTTTACACTGCCACCCCTACCTTTACTTCACAGATTCCAAATGGGGGGTCCCCACTTTAGATGATAATGGGCAGGATTCAGCAAATGACCCCTGTCAGCAGGAGCTCTGCACAAGCATTTCCACTTGTGCAGTTGGGTTACCACCTCTCTCCTCCCCTTAAGCACCCCCAAATTTGTGTCAGGGAAACCCAGGAGGAGGAGGGATTGTTCCATCTGGCAAGCTGCAATGCTTCTGCAGACTCAATGTTTTGCGTGTTCAGACCCAGAAACCTCCCCCCCTAAAGAAATTCACACTTGACTCAAATTTTAGTTTTGGTTTTTGGCAGAATTTAGGCCACAACTTTATTGATTACAGAAAGTGAATGGTTGCATAGGCTCTGGTTCGACTAGCTCCCTGCCATGCAGGTAGTGCTGACCCAGGGTTCCAGAATAGGTCAGCCAAGGGTGAACACCTGGATAAGCAGAAAGTTGGGAACAGGCTATCTCTGCCACCCAAATGTCCCCCTGGACTCAGGCACGGGCACAACCCCCTCTCAGGGGTTGACCAAACCATCGAGTCCCTGGATTCCTTTAACGGAATACCCTTCACATAGGGATGGCGAGAGCGTTCTCCCACCCCTATCACCTGAACCAATATGTGGTAAGTCGACCCTCCTAATTCTTGCCTTGAGAGAAATAAGGAGCATCAACAGTAGCTAGTGGTGCCTTACCACTGTGAACTTGCAGTTTGCAAGTGTTCATACCAAGTTAAATTATTGGTGGGAGATCCAACAGAAGATTCCTGCTGCTCCTCTCTGGGATGATTGAAGAGGACTTTATAAATGGCTCCAAACTCATGGAGTCACTACTTCTATACTCCCAGGATAGAGTCTACCGTTGGATAGAGTTTCTTTTTCAAAGATAGGATTGGCCAAGCCTTCTATCACAGAGAGTTAGGAATATAATGTGTTATGTTAAAGGAGTTATATATAACCCTCTATTGTTCCTTATTTTTAAATGGCAAGGTTGCATGACCTATGCTATATCCAGTATTATATCTCCCTGTATATTGAGTAGGACAATACCAGATTTCCCTTGTCTCATGTGCTCTACCAGGGAACCATTCATAAATCAAAGAATACCCTCTTGTTAGTATCAAGGCCAAGTTTCTTACAAATAGAGAGCCAAACACTTTGTAGTTAGCAGTTGCTACACTTTCTAGACTTCATATGACATCTTCTGCTATGATGGTAAAGAGAGACCTTGATTTCTGACTTCCTTTTGTCATGGATCTTCTATAGCCATGTAAGGTACATATTACTGCCCATTGCAACATTTGGGACAAATACATGAAGCAATATTGATTATTATTCTTGTTCACAATGTTTATACCACTTAATTACAGTCATCTGTAAGTGGTGTGCAGGAGACTCAAAACAATGAAAGTAAAAATGAGTTAAATCTATAAAATCAGAATTCCGATAAAAAGCCTGATGGAATAACAAAAAAAGTCTTCAGTAAGCTCTGGAATTTCAGTAGGGGGCCCCTATCTGACTTGAACTGGAAGGGAGTTTCACAAAATTGATCCACAACACTGAATGGTCAGCTCCTAGTGGATACAAGCCATGCATTTAAGCCATGGAGGACCAGTAACTGTGATTCCCCCAAATACTTTGGTGACCGGGCAGAGGCATAAGAGATCACGTAGACCCCAAAGTATCCTGGATTCAAATTGCTAAGGGCCTTGAAAATTAATACAAGAGCTTTGAACCTTGCCCAGTAATGTATGGGCAGCCAGTGCAAGCTTTTAAACACTGAAGTTATGTGCTAGTGATAGTCTGTCTTCTACACTGTTTTGCACCAGCTGGAGCCTTCAGGCCATGCCCAAGGTTAGATCACATAGGGTACATTGCAGTAATCAAGTCTTGAGTTTACCAGTGCATAAATTTTGGTGGCCAGACTGTCCCTGTCCAAGAACAGCAATAGTTGGTGTACCAAAGGTAGCCCTTGTCATTGAAGCCACCTTGGTCTCTGGCAGCAAAAATGGATCCATGACCTGTTCTTTCAGAGGGAGTGCAACCCCATCCAGAACAGGCAACTGGCCAAGTTCCCGGTCACAGGAACCATCAACCCACAGTCCCTCTCTCTTTTCCCTTTTTGGTTCCTTGACTGCAGTTTTATGTTCTTTGTGTTGGTTTGCAAATCTAATTTCTTGACTAAGTCACCTCTTGTGTTCTGATCAGAGGGATTCTGACTAATAATCCTACATCAGTGCCCTCATCTTTTGACCAAATTCCTAGGTACACTAACCCATTAGGGGAGCTGAGTAGGCTGGGAAAGGACACTGGCTGAGTTTCACTCAGTATCTCAGATGGCTCTCAGAGCTGAAGGAACTAGCCATATGACGCATTAAAACCCTGCTGATCCTAAACCCATAGGTGGTAGCAGCTAACCATTGTGTGTGTGTGTGGTATGCATTTAGCATCAGTATATTAACTAAGCAGACATTCCTCTAATCTTATTTAACAAATAACCTCACAAGACACCACTTACCCTTACTCACTGCAAACTGTGGCCATGTGTGTGCATTAGGATAAGGTAGGTGCAAATTTAACTGGTATACCATATCCCTCTGTACACAAAATGTCCTTACTTGGA